GGCAGGGCAGGGCAGGGCAGGGCAGGGCAGGGCGGTGAGCTGGAGCCAGGAAGGCAGGCGGCAGGCAAAGTTGGGGATTAAAATAGAAATGCGTTCTCGAGAGCGGTTTTCAGACAACGCCGCTTTCGACTGAAGGACAGCTCCGCGCGGGCTGGAATCTTATAGGGATGCCCTGAGAACTAAAAGCGCTTGCAAATGACCGAGTTTTACATTTAAAAGGTAAGCAAAGCAGCGAGAAGTCAGATACACTTCATCACAAAACTCCCTTTGTTCTTTCAACACCGTCTTTCAGCTGCACAGAGTAATGGATTCCCGGTAAACATCTCCTCGGAGCCGGGCAGCAAACCTCAGCAAAGCGGAGCGCGGCCATCAGAGAGTCACGGGCGCTCGGACCAGCCAGCCCGCCGCCCCCAAAAACCAGCGTTTCTCCATTTTCCATGGCTGTTCAAGGGCTCACTTCACAAAGGCAACGTGAGTCAGGTAATCGTCTGGCTGAAATGATTTACAGGCCGACGTTGCACAATAAATCCCAGTAGTGTGTAACAAAAGGCATCTATAAACCACAAGGTACTTAACTAATTTTCTTCATACACAAAAGCAAGCTTCGGTCTAATACTGATAAAAACTAAGGGAATGAAGAAAAACATCTAGTTTAGATGTTGGGGGGGAGAGAAGGGTTGGGTTTCTTCTCTTTCTTTATAAGCAGAAGTTAATATAAATCTGCAGAAATACCAGGCTTAATCACTACAATTGCTGGAGGAGGTGCCTGCAGCGCAAAGAAGACAAGTCCAGACAAAATAAGGTACACACGCTATGCAAAACTAATGTCTGCTACAAATGCTATGTGGTACAACCACCACCCAAGATGCTACTGATCTGCAGAGCGGTATTTAGTAAAATAATGAAGAAAAAATTAAAAACAACAACTACAAAGGTGAAAGTAAGAAGTCAAGGACTGATACAAACTACGGGTGGGGGAGCATGCGTTGGACGATTAGCAAGCAGGAGGAAAGCAGCAGGTCTGAGGAACACATTTCAGTGCTTGAAAGCAGACAGTTTGGCAAAAATAAAGATAACATTATCAATGAAAGTTGAGACTAAAACAAAAACCAAATTCTGTAACTTGTACGAGACAGACACCAGCATGTCACAGGATTCTCTCTGGAAAACATAGCTCTCTTGCAATTTCGCACAGTGCAGCACCACCACCGAGTCTGTCACAGTTTTTCAATTGGACACATTCTCCTGTTTACCCTGCCTGGGGCTGCTCGAGAGAAAATGAACAGATTTGCAGGGTTAATATTGTAGTTAGGCTGGAGCCTCATTCAGCGTAGCTGTGATAGCACTGGCTGCACAAAACAGTAGAAGAATGTGTAGTATAAACATCACTGCCAGGATGGGAGATAGGTTGGAGGACCGTGGGCACTTTAAAAGGCAAAAGAACCCACAAAGCATAAGAAAAGGGAACCAGTTTCCAAACCCAAGTCATAACCAAGCCGCCGTTTACACAGTTTACCTACTAAAACTCCCAAGAAATAAAAATGCTTTATAGTAAAACCTTCTGCTGTTTAATTTCATCCTCCTCCTTTTCAACATTTCCTCTTCAAGTTACCTGTGTTTATTGTGCCTCATGAAACAAAGTCCTTCTTGTCAGTGGCTGATATTAAGCACAATAATGGTAACCTTGCTCCAGTCTCAGCCCACAAAGCACATTTCCCTGCATAAAAACAGTGAAGTATAATTTTGGAGATACTTTGAAATCAAACAATTGTATTTCTACTGCAGTTGCCTCAGAGAAACTAAAACAAAAATGGGATTCAGAGAAGCAAGTCCATAAAAAAATCCCATTTTTTCAATGTGGCACAACTCAATAGCACAGTCAGAGCACAGAAGATCACCATCCAATGGGTACAGCATTTAACAGATCAGAGTTATATAACTGCATTAGTTAAATCACTGTATTGTTCAGCTATGGAAAGGATAACACAGGGGCAAACAGTCTCTGAAGAAATACATGGCTTGGTTGGTTTATTACAAATGTGGAAGTGAACAAGATTTGGTAAAAAGTAATTAAAACAAAGCACTGCTGGTAAGCTAAGCTTCCATCACCTAATGTGATTGCAAATACAATTCCTTAGCAAGAATTACAGATGGAGAGAAAGGAGTCAGAGACATTAAACTCAATGGGCTCCAGCAAGCTATCCAGAGCAGCTCACAACAGAAAGAATCAAAAAGCTCTTCAGAAGCCTTTCCTGGTGTCGGGCAGGTGAGACATGAGCCCAGGAACGGGTTCGGAGCTCAGCCACGGCCGTTCCCACACAGGAGATCACAGAGGTTGCTGTCTGCCTTGGGAACTGCATCAGCTTTGCTCATGAGTGGGGCACAAATCACCTGCACTGGCTGGATGGGCAGTGACCCTCCTGACCTGTCAACAGGCTGACCCCTCATAGCTTTCCTTCTCAAACATTTTATTATTTATCCCACAAAAAAATTAGGTAAGAACAGAAAATACAGCTTTATAGCAGTTCCATGGACCAAAATACTTCAAATACCCTGTAAAACATTTATCATTATTATCCAGATGATCCTCCAACAACTTTTCATAAAAATTAGTTCCCACTTTCACTCAGAATGAGTGAAACTATGTAATCAAAAGTGCCAAAATCTTTGTGCTAGGCAGGCTAAAGGCCATTAAGTTGTCTAAAACTTTTCAGTTTTGGTTTAGCACACAAAAGCACTGCTCTTAGGACAGTTTGGGGCTCCTCTACTTCTTTGTTGATATTTGAAGGAGCCTTTCCACAACAAGCAGCTCACAGGCACAGGTCTTTAGAGTATATCTGAATCTGCTTCACATTTTCTGCTCTAGGCAAGCCCTTCTGGAGGCTCAACAAAAGCAAAAGCAGCCCTGCTTTAACTGCTCCTCCTGGAATTTACAAAAATCAGTGTAATTTAGAAGCCTTCCTACCAAAGGGGGCCAAAGATCATGGAGCTTACAAATCCCTTCTCCTCTCCCTGCCTTTTCTTCTATACCATCTTCTCCCCAACTCCTCTCAAAAACATTGTTAAAGAGTAAGCCTTTACACCTGGGTTGAAACAAACCACAGTAGCTGCAGCGCTGAGATGTGCACTCGTGCAACTGGACTACCAAACGACAATAACACAGGAACCATGTCAATGTTCTGGCAGCAAGTGGAAGGAAAAGGAGATATCTGAGGAACATGAGTCACTACAATGTGCTAAGTGTATAAAAATCAAAGAGATGGGAGGCTTACTCCTCCCCTCAAAATATTAGCACTGGTGTCCTAAATGTTATTTACACTCTGTGGTCTTGAGTAAAGTCATCCTGGTTCCCTTCTTAAGACAGAATCCTTGACAAAAAACATGCCACCACAAGACAAGCCAAGCTCAGGCACAGAAGGACCGACATTCATGCACAAACTGTCTGCTTGACTCACCAGACTGTGAGGATCATTTTAGTTTGCAGGTCAAGACACTGCTGGCTGGAATTATTTTAGCCAATGTCTTCCCTGTAAGCCAGCCCAGCTCAAGCAGAAATGTATATGCTACTCAGTAGCATATGTATTCCCTGTCAAAGCCCCAGCAATTATTACTGGTGAGAAACTCAAATTTACACATTTCTAACTCCCTTGGATGTTTTGAGGGAGGTGAGGGCAAGCTTAACTGTTATAGACATTAGAACAAAAAATCATGCAGTAGTTTATTCTAAAGTATCAAGTCAGTCTGTGTTCATTATCCTTTTTACACAACAGAGATACATGAGACAGATGCTTCTCCTCACAAAAGCTTGGTGCCCAGGAACAACTGCTAACAGCAGTTAACACATCCACATCAGCACTCCAGCAGAAGAGTCTAAACACATCTATCCCACTGTATGGGGAATGAATCCAAACAGCAAACTTCAGAAGCTGTTGTCAAATCCCTTCTCCTCCAGCACAGAGCAGAAATCACTCAAGTGTCGGGGACATCTGTGTGCCTGCACTCTGAAATAAACAGCAGGCTGATCTCTGGGGTGCCTGTGGGATGGGGAAAGTGCAGCTCGAGAACCTCATCCAAACCAGGAACATTAGGACTGCTCTTGGATTTGGCTCCTGCACAAGTGTCCCCATTTTGAAGATGCACTTTTTCAAAACAAACATTTCATTAAAGATTAAAAAAATCAGCATCATCAGGTCTCACCACAATGCTTAGACAAGTACCCCCCTCCCTTTTTTGAATTCAGCAAAAAGAGTTGCCACAACAAAGAGGCTGGAGAAAGCATTTATTCAACATAAACAATATCAGTATAGTACAAACAGCACTTTTGGAAGGTGTAGCAAGCAGGCAGAGATACAAAGCTACATGTCCAAGAAACCCAGGAGCTTATCCTGCTGGCAGGGGAAAATCGCACCCTGGGTACCTCTATGGGCTGGTGATGTCCTCACACCAAATTCTCTAGCTGTGGCTCTGGGTACCTCTATGGGCTGGTGATGTCCTCACACCAAATTCTCTAGCTGTGGCTCTGGGTACCTCTATGGGCTGGTGATGTCCTCACACCAAATTCTCTAGCTGTGGCTCTGGTACTTAGCATCTACAGATGACACCACCTGTGCTGGCCCCTCAGACAGAGCCCTCAAGGTGGTCAGAGATGACCAAGTGCACCACACAGAGCATGCAAACTGCATTTTGATCTCAAGGTGTGTATGCCATCATGGCGCTTTCTCTTCACCTTCATTCTGAAGAGCCCAGAAGCACAAAGAAATTGCTCAGATCTTTGTCAAAAAGTCTTTGCATGTAAGCACATCCATCCTTTTCTTCTGCTTCTTCACCCTGACACCAATGGTTGGTAGCTCCCTGAGGACATGGTTGGGCTTTACTGCTGCCACTGGGTCTGCAAAACAAAGAAACAGCCCATTGTTTTCCCCAGCAAAAATATGCCGATTGCACTGTCATGCTTTGCCTTTCATCAATATAATACAACTGCCCTTTCTCTCCCAGCTGCAAGGTTCAGGATTGCTGACTCTGAACATTAGGAATTATGTTTATAAGGCAAAGCTCCAGAACAATTGTGTTTGAGCGTCACACGAGAAACAGGCCCAAAACACAATCAGCTGCAATTCAATGCCACAGTAAGCTAAGACCCACCAGGTCCACTGAGACTCAATAGTAGTGCTAGATTTATTATCCTAAATCTCAAAAGCTTCATTTTAAACCCTGAGTGTCTGTCAATATACAACAGAAGGTCAAACTATCCTATGCAAGACTGTCAAATACAATGGAGAGCTTGAAAAGCAGGAAGGTTTTTTGGATATGCTGAGCCACTAAATTGCAGAAGATCTACTATGCCAAGCAGCTGCTCTCTCCTCACACCACAAGTGCCATGCTTGGGGCACTCAGTATTATTTGCAGAAATACAAGCAGCATTTTAGAAAGGTGGGTGTCACAAGACCACCTGCGAGAGGGGACAGAGATACCCAGAAGGGTCGGTCCCTCATAGCCAGAGTGTGGGGTATAGTTCATTGTGAAACAAAAACCTTGGCTGAAACTCTTTCCTGAAGGTGTCAGGAACAGTATTGGGCTGTCCTCTCTGTATCCTGAAATAGTCCAATTGCAGATCAAGCCTACAAAGGAGATAACACACCTCTGGTCACACCAGAGTGGCCACAGCAGGGGTGACTGGAGCACTTACCTGATGGGACAATTTTAACTGGTACATTCTCCTTGTCCCACAGTCACTGTCTCTGGAGTAGAGCGCTGATCTGGCCCCTCAACACGGGGGTCCCTTGCAGCACATCCCAAATCCTGGCTGCTTTCAGCCTTCTCCTCCTGGAGATGCTGGCACTGCAGAGCACATACACATGCTAAGTGCTGCAAGTGCTGGAGAGATGTGGTGGCATTTCCCTGGGAAAATGAGCCTTGCTGGGATTTCAGAGCTGACCAGGACCTAGAATAAATGACACAGGTGCAGAGAACCAAATGCAAGGCAAAGGGCTGAAGGAAGTGAGGTATTTGATTGTGCTGGGTGGAGAAAGCTGCCTACCTGGAAACGCAGGACAGTTAAAAACCACCCTTGGACAAGAGCTTGGAGGCACCTTGATAATTCCAGAGCCCAGGAGCCAAGCCTATAGCACACAACCAGCTTGAGCAGAACAGCTCTAACCACACTTTCATCAGAAACTTGTCACTGAGCCCTTAAGAAAAATCTTTAAGTGGAGAAAAAGAATTCATGGATAATGGCAGAAGTCAAATGAGGGCCTGTGCCTACACCAGTACAGCAGTTAAGGCGAGTCCAAAAACCTGGCAAAATTTACAGAGACAGGATGTATCTTCTCAAGTGCTTATGAAGTTCTCTGAAAACCTCCCTAAGCCTTGAAACTGCAGACAAAAGTTTAATACCTCCCTCAAAATATAAGTTTGAACTCTTTATGGAAGATTAACTCAGCCCCTTGCTTGTTTGGGTGAGTAGTGCTGAGGTCAGCCCAAATGTTGTCATTTATTACATCCCTGTTCTTCTGCACTGCCTACCCATTTCTTCCCTGGGTCAAGCACAACACTTCTGTAGGAGGTGGCTGATGTGCACACTTGCTGTGCTTGGGTCAAGCAAGTGGCAAACACGGCCAGCACAGAATCTGACTGAAGCCGCTAATAGAAGCAGGATCTTTGGAATACATCCAACCCACTGTATTATGAAAAAAACAAACGAAACTTGGGGGTCCAGCCCAGATTCACTACCTCCAAACAGAAACACTTTGCCTTTCACCACGGAAGGAGAACTTCTACAGCCTTTAGAGGTGCCGATTCAATTCTCACTCAGCAAAAGCGCCCATTTAATTTACAAGCAAAACCGGATTTGAAAGCTGCTCCCAGTTAGTGCACAGCACACCACTGCCCACCTGACACTCTAATCACAGGGTGCTCACCCCAGGATGCAGCAGGCAAAAACATCCCAGAACCATGCTGGAGGACACAGTGTTTAGATGCAGCAGGACTTGGGACCAAAGGTAACAGACGTACCACGATGCTGCTAAGGGTGTCCTATGATAGGGGCAGACTGGACAGCTGGCATTTCAGGCCACTCGCTCCACCAAGGGCTTGTCTGTTCTGCACCAGCATCTACTCAAATTAGCAATGAAACTGAGTTAGGAGTGACCAAATGAAAGTGTAACTCCTGAGCTGGACATGACCAGTTCAAGATATTTCATGAGGTACACAATGCAGTGCTTCAGTCACCTTCACTCAAACTTCTTTATTCTCATTTGCAAGAGAGGACAAGTATCCCATCAGATACTGCAGAAACAAGCCAGTAAGGATGAAGTACTCTCTTGTCTGAGCACAGAATGACTGCAGACATTGTGGACACTAAAAAAAAAAAAAAAAAAAAAAAAAGAGGAGGAAACACTGAAACACTATTAAAAGATGAGCAGTCCCTGAGAAAGTCTTCCAGGTCTGAAGAGCCTTCAGCAGCCTGGCAGCCCTGCCCACAACACTACAGCTTGATACTAAAGTCTTTGCTTCTGTTGCCCTGAGGACAGTTTCATTTACTTTCCTTTAAACCTGGAAAATAGGTCGCTTTTCTTCTCGTACCTCTATCAAACCTCAGGTAGCAGAGAAAATGGGAATTTACTTGTACTTCATAGGAAAGCAAGCACGCACAAAGGGAGCTCCACCTTTTGCAAAGGGCAGAGATGACAGGCTACTTCCCCACCATACAAGGCTTCACTCATTCCAGTGAGAAGCATAGATCCAAATATCTTGGACCACTTCATCCCTGCTGCAAGAGGTTTGGCATGCCAGCTACTTTGCTGACAGCACACCTGAATGCTCTGGGGCTCCATTCAGAGTCTACAGCTCCTCCCTGCAAGAGGCAGCCACTCAGTCAGCTCTCCCCAGTCCCAGGGAATAGCCCAGCACAGAGCAGTCCACACCTCCCAGTGCCTCTGAGAGGGAAGCAGCATCTGCCAGCTCATCTCCTGCACCAGGGAAGGCAGGAATGTGACAGCCACCTTCACCACACACACATGGGGTTTGGGCCAGGAACAGCTATGGGAACAAACAGGGGAACTCTGAACACTGCAATCCATCTTTCAACTGTTCCCAAGTAGACTACTTGTAGGTTGAGATTTATTAATAATGCAATTTTTAGTCAGACTTTTCACTCAAGTGCTGTTGCCTTTTATCCACTTCTAGCAGGCACTCTACACGTATTTTGCAAGAGTCTTCACAAAAGGAAAAGGGAGAAACAACAACAAACACTCCCTCCTGGGTTTAGAAGGAAAGGACTTCTCTTTGCCAGAACCATGCTGATATATTTGAATGCTAAGTCAAACAAATCCTCACAAATGGTGTCAAGATTTAAGTGGGAAAGAAACCAAATGGTTACATCTTCTTGGACCAAATTTGCAATCTGTCCAATAATCTTCTGGTGAGAAGTAACACTAAAAAACAAGCATTGTTAAAATCTGTTTTGTTTGCAAGGTAAGATCCTATCAGCAGTACATGAATAAAGATTAATGTCTTGAATTGTAGTTGTATCTGAAGATTTCAAAGACCCATAAAAATGTAGACTTCAGTGGGATAACTGGAAGATTGTCATGAATTGCCAGAATTTGAGAAATGGGTTTCTCTTCTTTAGATTTGACTCACAAACTGAACAAAAAGAAGCCTGTACTGTCTTATTTGAAGTCAGTTTACACTCCAGTTTGAAGCACCTGCCCTTGGGTATGTTCCAGAAGAATATCTACCTTTCCACAAAGGGAGGCTAACACCCATTGTAAAACTTCCAGAGGCACATTAGATGTCTGTTCTCCCCCCAGCGATTTCACCCTTAGAAGTCGAAGGAACGCTGCCAGTTACAGCCTGTGCTGAGGAAACATGAGTTATAATTTTACCCTGGGAAAATTGCTGAACTGGGAGCTTCTGGTGTGGCATAGGTCTTGCCTTCGCAATCCAATGGTTCTTTTGATTCAGAGAGGCTTTGAAAGGGTGGTGATGAAAAACATAGCCTCTCCCTTTGAATCAGCCAGCCGCCTGCTTTCCTTTGCACTTTTAAATTTGGTTTATTAATTTGCCTAGGAGCAGAAAGAAACAGCACTGACCCATCTAGAGAAGATATCTACTTCAGACCGAACATGAAAACAAAAGAACATCCCCACTTGTGGACTACCTGAAGAATTTTGTATCTAGAATCACCTTTACCACACTTAAGAAAAATACAAGAAACTCTTTACTAGGTCTCCTGGCCATATTAAGAGGAAAAAGGTAAGGGACAAAAGGACCTGATAGAACCACACATTTTAAACGTAATACACAAGAGCTCTAAGCACTCTCCAGATGTTTCTTGAAGCAACCAGTAATAAAATATTCTCAGCTGGAATTGCAATTTTGAAGACATTGAGTCTATTTGGTAATTATGGCAGTAGCCAGTAAAACAAACAGCTTCATCTATAACCTGACTGCAGGAAAAAGGCATGAAAGTGCTTTGAAGCCACACATTTGTAATTATCTAATTTATGATAAAGATGTAAACACAACCACAATTTTGAAAGTCACAGCTCAGTCTCATAGAGAATTAGAAATAGGGTGTGAAATTGTAATATTAAATTATACATTCCTCACTCTGAGATCAATGAAACACCGTCAGCAAAAAACCGTGACCTTCAGGACCCCTGTGTCACTCAGTTTTCTTTCTTTCTTTCTTTCTCATCTATTCCCCTTCCAACAAGTCTCTGAAGCTGAACTTAGCAAAGCAATGCCCCAGTCTCACTGAAATGATAATTTATCAAAACCCCACTGGAGGGACAGAGACTGCCAAGAGGGAGAACAGTGCAAGGAAAGGGTGAGAGTTGAACTTACTGAGATGACAGGCTTTTTGGAGGTTCTTGTCAGGATGGGCTGCAATAGGGAGCATTTACCCGCCTCTCCCAATGCTTTTCCAGGGCTAGCTGGGAATTTTTCCTCTCCTCTTGTAACTCCCATTAAAATTATCAGCCTACAGATTTCATAACAAGCAGGAGAATGAAAAACCCCAAACATTATCGTGAGAGAAATCGTATTATGATTAACTATTTCAAAATGCCTGTGGGTTACTTAATACCTTGGGACAGGCAGCATAACGCCACAAGGGTGTCACTGCATGGGGGCAGGAAACAGCCCCCTGCTAAAAAGGTGCACAAGGCAGCACACAGCAATGGGGGGCTCTTCCCAAAGCTCTGGGAATGGACTATGCATGTGGCACATTAAACCTGCACTCAAACCCACTTGTGACCCAGACACTTCTCTACCCCTGCCCCACTCCAAAATCTGTCCACCTTTGAGTTTAAATCCCTTACAGAAGCAGGTGTGTCTCTGGATTGCTGGTAGGAAGATGCTGAAGTCCCAAACTAAGCTAAATACAGCTGTGAGTAAATTCAAAAGGTTCCATCAATGCAGTATCACATGAAGGCTTTTTATTTCACTTTGCCTCTTTTCTGGTGTTTGGAATTTTCTTAAATGCTGGAAATGTATTCAGGGAGGAACAGAGAAAGTCATATGCCCACCATTCCCTATGAGGGTCAAGCAGCAGTTCTGCTTTGTTAGTGTGAAGGGTAGGATTCAAGGAAAGGAGAACACAGAAGTCTGCTCTGGCAGGCAAAAGGAGTGCTTGGCAACACAACGACCATATGGCACATGAACAAAGCATATTTTAGATCTGGTTCATTTGATTCCATTATATGTAAAAGATACTCTAAGATCTATGGCTAAGAAATACAATTTTGGTTATTGTTTTCAGACCCGTAGGGATTTCCCCAAGTAGTCCTTGTAGCTTATATGATAAAAACATCCATTTGGCAGCTAATTTTAGCATTTTTTACCCACAGGGGTGATTAACCCCAAATCTATATAACCCTGTGCTATATGCTAACAGCAGCCATGATTGCCTCTGCCAACCTCATGAAGCAGCAATCC